TGTACAATTCCCATGAAAAGGAAGCTACTAATTTTGGAAATAGGATGCTTCTATTTTTTGAATCAGTAATAGTTTTGAGTAAATTAGGATCAAGCAGGAGGAGAGCAGCCAAAACCACAAATGAAGTAGATAGAGGCTCTTATTGGTTGTTGCAATGCAAGTGCACCGAAAAATATTTCCTTGAAGTCATGAAGTTTAACTTAGAAATAAACAGGAAATATTTATATAATGCAAAAAATGTATATTGACAGTGAGGATAATCTTTAAACCTAATACCATGAATTACGACAACAAATTTTACCATGAATGCTTGCTTTTACGTTGCCTAAGGCGTTTGACTTAACTCCACGTGGTGCACCCTGGGCAACGTATCTTCGTACGGCACAAAAGTCGATCACTCGGCATTCGATTTGACTTCGATTTATTATGATAAGCTTAAAAAATCGCTCTCGTCAGGGCTAATCACATCGTCTTCACATCCACCAGTGGAATACTAGAGAGGTGTCACACCACAAAAAGATCCAAGTACAGAAAATCCTACAAACCTATTACGTAGACATTTTCACAATTATGGAAGCTAACATTTCGGATGGCAAACTGAAATACTACCAATTCCCAGGCTCCAATCTGTACCTTCTACCTAAATACCGGTAAGTTGCAAGTGGAATTTTAACTGAAGTAAGAGAAGGCCTCACCTCTCACTACGATCTAATCATGAGTATGGGCTCTACACAAGACATATGTGAAATAATCAGATTAAATATTTGCAAATGCCAAAACCACTTCAAGGTATATGCAGTCTATAATCCACCTAAGAATTGTCCGAACTTTGACTTTCTGAACATCTCACACAAAACTATAGTATTAGGAGACTTCAACGCCCATTCCACCATATGGGGCTACAAGGATACAAACATAGCTGGAAAGGAAATTGAAGACATGCTAAACAGCAACTCTCTGGAACTTATTTGCAGCAATGAGGATCCGGCTACATATTTGCACTACAATGGAATAAGAACAACTCCTGATTTACTCTTGGCTTCAAGCGACATCAATGAGCATACTCGCCGCAAAATAATTGACGATCCTGGTTCTGGTCACAAACCAATCATTGCTAGTATTACCATAGGCAGCAAAAGCATGACAAGGAAAGTGCCAACTAAGCTATAATTGAACTTCAAGAAGGCTGACTGGTCTAGAGGCTATTAGGATAGCACTATGCCAATTATGTTGCCTGGATACGAAATCCACCAAGGCGGTGATACTTTTGGACTCACAGTCAGCAAAGAACGCTATTGGAAACAGAGAGACACCCAAAACAGCTGAGATAAAAGAATGTAGAAAACTCCATGAGCTGCTGAGTGAGAAAAACAAAACAGTGGTCTTGCAATGGATTCCTGGTCACTGTGGCATTAAAGCCAATGAGATTGCTGACACACTTGCTAAGAAGGGGACAACGATTTCGCAATGCATGGGCCAGTTGCTAAGAGGGGGACTACGATTTTGCAATGCATGGACCGTCCGATGTCTTTCCACACAATGAAGGCCTTAATCAGAAGAGTATTCCAGAATGTCTTTCCACACAATGATGGCCTTAATCAGGAGAGAATTACATGTCTTTCCACACAATGAAGGCCTTAATCAGGAGAGAATTTTAGACCTCAAGGTGCAGCGAACTTAAACCTCGAACAAAGGAGAAACAGTGGGCAGTGGCACAGCTCGAACAAAGGAGAAACAGTGGGCAGTGGCACTTCCGACATACCCGACTGGCCAAGAATCGAAGCCGTTGCTGAGTTCAGACTACGTACCGGACAAATCACCTTCAGAGATTGGGAGTATATACTCAACCCACATGCCCTCTATGTAACCTGGGAGTATACACTCAACCCACATGCCCTCTATGTAACCTAAGAGTATATACTAAACCCACATGCCCTCTATGTAACCTACAGGAGGAAACGGTTGCCTGGCAAATCACCTTCAGAGATTGGGAGTATATACTCAACCCACATGCCCTCTATGTAACCTACATGAGGAAATGGAAAAGACCCATCTGATTCGGTGACCAGCCCTAATGCCAACGACGGAAAGCCAGAGATACTGGAAAGAGAGAAGACAGCTAATGCACTGCTATTAATTAACTGCTATAAATGAACCCCCCTTCATGAACGAAGAAGACAGCTAATGAATTTCTATAATTAACTGCTATAAAGACCCACCTGATTCGGTGTCCTGCCCTAAAGACAACGACGGAAAACCAGAGTACGGGGAAGCAAGAAGACTGCTAATGAACTGCTATTAATTAACCGCTATAAATGTAGGAAGCAAGAAGACTATTAAGCCAGATACGGGGAAGCAAGAAGACTGCTAATGAACTGCTATTAATTAACCGCTATAAATGTAATCCAGCTCTAAAGACAAGGACGGAAAGCCAGAGATACTGTTAAGCAAGAAGACTGCTAATGAACTGCTATTAATTAACTGCCGCAAGAAGACAGCTAATGAATTGCTATTAATTAACTGCTACATGTATGTACCCCACCCCCTCTTGGGGGAAGCTGAAGTCAAAGTTTAAGGGCTAATGATAGAATGAACTGCTATTAATTAACTGCTATATATGCACCCCCCACCCCTGGGTGTAATGAACTGCTATTAGTTAACTGCTATATATGTACCCCCTACCCATGGGGGAAGCTGAAGTCAAAGATTAAGGGCTAATGATAAATATCATAAAGCCTGGCATTTGAAAAAAAATGCTAGATAAGAAATATGGCAAAAGCATCAGTCACTGGACAAAATAGTTACATTGATTTGATGATAAGCTCGTACCTAGCAGTCTAATTAATTGAAATAGATAGATGGACAGCTCTAACGCAATCGGATTAAACAGTCATTCAGCTGATTCTGTTAAATTGATAAATAAATAGATGATGGATAAAATGAGTATATTGCTTCAAATGGATTAAATCGTGTATTTACGTACGCTAGTGATGTTATTCCAATAAATCCAAAAAATAGTCGAACTTATTAAAACGAAAATATTTTGTTTGACGATAAAGACTTTTCTATCACTATGCTGAAACTCCCAAATCTATCAATGATAAGGGCAATGCACAGCGTGAAAACTTCGTAATGTAGGAAAAAATTAGCTAAACTGTAGACAAGCTGTCATCAAATCGACGGTACTCCAACCTTCAATCACATTTGTCAAATTTTAACCCTAACTATTGGCAATTGTAGGATTAGCGTATCCCTTTAATTTGAATTCTCCTTTATGTGAAATCAGAATGAAGTGACCTCCACGCACCCACATCAAAATGCTTTTAAATGCAATGTGTGTGCACAAATGAAATCAGCATATCATGAAACATCCGGAAGTAAGTATTGCTTATTCCTTTGTGAGAATAGCAGAGACTACTTGACTTTGCATTAACCAAGTTGGAGATAAGGTCAATGGAGGGGGGGGGGCTTATAGAATCGCACGAGTTCTTTTCATTTCGTATAATTGTGTCAAGGCGGGAATGTTACTATATTGTGAGAAAAATAGTTATTGAATATTCTCCCTTGAGAAAATATTACCTGCATTGCCTATGTCTGCTTATGTACTTTTATTTTTGCATTATTGGCTCATTCCTGCCTTCAAGGTCACGATTAAATTGATTTAGTCCCTAATTTCTACGTTTCCTTACTCGCATATCTATTCGGAGATTGGATTATCGGGTTTGCAGATCTTGAAAGTTAAACAGCGTAAAGACAATATGATCTGGACTTTATGACACAATTATGCATCTATCACTAACTCAAACTTCAGGCACGTCGACAACGCAAAAAACCGTAAATATTCCGGTAGAAACGATTTTAAGGTGATTTTTTTCGGTTTCATTCTTACCATCTTCTCCTCCGCTTGCTTCATCGCCACGATGATCTTTTGAGAAGATAGCTTCTGCAGCTGCCAGCTCAAGAATGGAGGAAGTTGTCATGTGGAACATTCTCCGTGCCTCGTCCCGAGCCAATTTTGCTGCTGTCACTGCACGAGCTAACAGTTCTTGTTGTTGCTTTCGACGACTTGTTGAGGCGGTGACAAATGTTTTCTGCACATAATTGAAAACGAATTCTGTTTATTTGTCTGCATCAGTTTATCGATTGAGTATGAGTTAATTTGGACTACTAATAAAGTTCGACTGTTGGAGAAGTTGTCAACTCTACTGTCTAATTGATAAAAAAACAATCGATCCCCTAATGTATTTCACCCCTATAATTTTCAAATTGACGCTTTATAAGACTAAAGACACTCACTGAATGCCATTTTGCTCAGTGCGTGCCAAATCGAAACCGATTTCCACTCATCATGTCTTGACAATGGACGATTTTGATTGAGTAGGAAAAATTTTTAAGATGGAATTTTTCAGACAAATCAGTACTTTTATTCCAGTGATGTGATTTATCCGGGTAATAATTTGTGTTAAGAAAGTTAAATAAATGAAAATAAGATTAAACCAGGAA